ACTCGGAACCGAGTCTAGATTAAAAACTCGACTCATGGAGTCGAGTCGAACCGAACCGAACTTTTAACATCCCTACCCTTGACTATCCATGAATTTTGTGTAACCAAATATTGAATATTCAATGAATATCCATTTATAACCGTGAATATTCATGGGTCCGACCTCTAACGTACTGCATTGGAGTTGGATCCAATATTTATAATTATGAAAAAAATTGTAGCCCAAACCACGTTATGGTTAGCATCACGTTATGGTTAGCATCACGTAATAATGTGATGATAATCATCACATGGTTTGGGACATTTGGATGCAGTCCATTTCGGGAAGACAAAAAAAAATAAGAATTACGAAAAACGACAGCCTAAACCTATCTTGGTGCACTAACAAAAAAATGTCGGGACGCAATTTCACATAAAAAAACAGCCTTATTCTTATTTATAGCAAAAACACCCCAACAATAATGCTAACGTAATTAGATAAATAACTCAGACCCATATCCGGAAAATTTGGACGGCAACTATAAGATTCAATTATCCGATGTTATACAGTATCGTGCGAATTTTGTCTATTTCTTTTGTCATGAAATTACATAAATGTGCAAATTATCCCCCCAAATAGACTCAATATCATTGATATTTCTGTATTTATCGTTATCCATTGAAGTCCATGGATAACAAAAATTGTCAATCCTGACCCAAATCATCACACGCTTGTCGAATAACATCATACATTCATACAGTAATAATCAATGTCACTAATGCAGCGCATAATTCCGATAAAAAAATTTCACAATATCAAAATATAGTGATATATTGTGTATACGTATGCGAAAAATATAAAATTACAGTAGGGCCTTACTACGTATAAATTTTTTTGTTACGTATTAACTACATACATTACATACAGTAGATTATAACTATAAAAAACAGCTGTACATTTTTTTAATAAATTACGATCATTTCCCACGCTTAGTATATAAATACCTGTATCTACGCAAATATTCGGTATTAAAAAAATCATGGTACCTAGCACTTCTGAAGATCCTTTTCACAAAATTATTTTAAAATATAGTTCTGAAAAATCAGAATTCTTAAAAGAAACTTCTTCTCAATACGGATACAATGGCAGAATTGATTCTATACGTGAAAATGAATATTCACAACTGAAAGGTACTTAAAATTTCTTTTGATTTTTATCGATTTTTTATTGATTTTATTTGATTTTACTGATTTTTATTTTCTTACAAGGATCCGTTTATCTTGATCATTCTGGTGCGACTGTATATGCAAAAAGTGTCGTAAGTTCCTTCGCTAATGATCTTACAAATAATCTTTTTGGAAATCCTCATTCGTACAATCCCAGTTCTCAGCTTACTTCTCAACGAGTTGAACTAATTCGAGCTCGTATTCTGAAACATTTTAACGCAAATCCTGCCGAATATCAAGTTATATTTACTCAAAATGCGAGTGCTGCTATTAAATTGGTTGGTGAAGCTTTTCCTTGGACCCATGGTCAAAGTTCTTTCAGATATTTGAGAGAATCTCATAATAGTGTGATAGGCTTAAGACGTTTTGCTGAAGAAAATAATTCTCCTATTATTCAAGCTATAACTGAAAAGGATTTAGAATCATCTTTTAAAAATATTCATGAATATCCGATTAATGATAATTTACATTCTGAAATAAATCAAGATGTTGTATATAATCTTTTCGCTTATCCTGCACAATGCAACTTTTCTGGGCAAAGATTTCCACTCAAATGGACGCAAATGATTAAAAGATTAAATTCTGATAAATCAAAGGTATTGGTCTTGCTTGACGCTGCTGCTTATGCAGCAACTTCTTCATTATCATTAGCTGATAAGGATACATCTCCAGACTTCGTTGCTATCAGTTTTTATAAAATTTTTGGATTTCCCACAGGTTTGGGCGCTTTATTAGTA